ACTGCGACTGCGACTGCTGCTACGACTGCTGCTACTACTACTACTACTACTACTACTACCACTACTACCGAGTGTGTTGGCGTAGGGTCTTTAGGCAGGTTTTCGTGACTCCTGAATGCCCGAAGTGCCAAGCCCTTTGGGGCTTTAACCTACATCCAGGCCGCTGATCAATGACCGCAATGACGTTCACGGCCGGATGCCCAGGAAACTCTTCCAAGCGACTTACATCAGGTCCTGCCAGCCCTGTTGCCGCATGGTGCGGCCGGGTGTTATGGTTGGTCTCAGGCTTCTTTCAAACGCCGAGTCTCAGGACTGATCTTCGAACACTAATTTTGCGTGTGTGTGTCTGTGAGAGGCAATGTATTTGCCAGACAGAGAGACAGAGAGAGAGAGAGAGAGAGAGCAAGAGAGAGAGCGAGAGAGAGGAGAGAGAGAGAGAGGCCTTGCCGCACCCGAACTCGCAGCGCTTTGAGGGCTTTGGGCAAGCTCAGTTTGGAATGCTCTCTTGCATGTGCGTCCTTTCTCGTTGTCAGTCTCAGCGCTGCTGCTTCTACCACGGCCACTGCTGCTGCCGCTGCTGCTGCTTGCTACTGCTACTGTCGGAGTGCGGCTATATTTCGGCAGCATCACTGCTGTAGTCCGTACAAGGCGAACCTGTGTTGCCAAGGCGAGTAGGAAGAAGAAGGAACATAAGGAACAGAATAGAGGCAATGCTGCCAATACTAACGGCTCCGAGTACTCGTGAATCGAGATCGAGACACTCACGTCGTTTCAAGTCTCGATCTCACGCCGTCATCTCTAAGCCCGAAACCCTAAATCCTAAACCCTAAACGCTAAACCCTATAACCCCTAAGCCCTTAACCCTAAACTCTTTACCCTATAACCCCTAAACCCGAACCCCTAAACCCTAAACCCTAAACCCTACACCCTAAACCCTAAACCCTAAACCCTAAACCCTAAACCCTAAACCCTTAACCCTAAACATCTCTAAACTCTCAACTCCGGTCCGACGACCTCCGTTTCGAGGCATCGCGGTCTTGGGCGGCAAGCCTGCCTCGCCGCAATTGTTGCAGACGGCTTTAAGGACATAAGCTAAATCGGTTTAGGGTTTAGGGTTTAGGGTTAACATAATATATACTGTATATAAATATAGTATTTATATATACATATATCTAGATAAGAGTGATTTGTTGGTGTATGTGCTGTAGCTTAAATAATGTATACAGTCGAGGCGTCGGTGTTAGTTTCGAGCCACGCCCTCGTTTAGGCTGTCCCGGCTTTGACGAGGCTTGCGGGTGACGGAAGGGATATGTTGGCGCCAGGTGTCCTAAATGATATGGTACTTTGTTGTGGTTCCATGCTTTGAGATCCCTAAACCCTAAACCCTAAACCCTAAACCCTAAACCCTAAACCCTAAACCCGAAAGTGCCCCCCACTCTACATCGCATGATTCGCGACAATTCGGTGAAGTTTTCAGTTCCAAGGCTCCTTGCCATTTGGCCTCGCACAGTTCTAGCCCTTTCCCGCTTCAAGCCAGTCCAATTCCGGATCCCTAACTTCCCTGAACCTTCAAGGCCCTGTAGACCTTTGTCGACCCTACTAAACCATCCTAAAGCCTAACCTCCAAACCCCAGGCCCTACACGCCCTATAGACCTGCCCAAACAGAAGCCCGATGAGCCCTAGAAGACCCTTAGCTCAGCTGTCTGCCGCATGAAAGGAGTCAAGGGCTCTCCTAGAAACCCTAAGCCCTAAGCCCTAAACCCTAAAGGAGCTTTAGTGCTTGAAAACCCCTAAACCCTAAACCCCCTAAACCCTACACCCGAAACCCTAAACCCTAAACTCCCTAAACCCTAAACCCTAAACCCTAAACCCCAAACCCTAAACTCCCTAAACCCCCTAAACGCTCAACCCCTAAACCGTATGAGGGGCTTGGGGGCTTCAGGGTTGGATTGGGCGCTTCGTGGCTGGTGGCTTGGGGTTCTTGGCGTTGAGTCTTCGGTTTAGGGTTTAGGGTTTAGGGTTTGGGGTTTAGGGTTTGGGGTTTAGGGTTTAGGGTTTAGGGTTAAGGTTTAAGGGTTTAGGGGTTAGGGGTTGGGGTGATGAGTGATTTTAAATGCTTCGCTTCGTCCGCCTCGGCCCGTCTGTGAAGCAGGTGCATTGTTTCGGAGACCAACTGGTAGGTCACACAGGTGACGTCTTGAGTGAAGGAGCGCATGTGCTTCAGAATGTTTTAAATGTCAGTATTTTTTTCATGCTGAGGCTCTGAGCAACAATCGCACGCGAACGGTGGCACATTCCCTGCATTACCCCATAGAGGTTACTGTAATAGTCGTATCACACTTCTCACTGGTCTCGTATACAACCTCCCATTGTTGGAAGGGGAATCAAGCTTTGCAACGAAGGACAAGACATCGCCCCTTGGAATTCCCAGCCTTTGGCATCAGCTTCACGAATGATGTAAGCTAGCCCGTCTTACATCGCCGCACTGGGGGGG